TTATGGCCCGGGCAAATGAACTTTTAAGAACATGACGTTACCTTGATCAAAAGGTAATTGAGAAAAACGCAATTTCTCTTTGAACCGACGTATACCTAAGACAAATATCGATGAAACAATAAATTACACCGTTGGAGCCTGTAGCTTTCTATTTCAGTAAAAAAAAGAAAAAAGGAAGAAACTTGCCAGCGAGAAAGAAGACATTGTTTGCTTTCTTGCCGACAACTTCTTCTGTTTGTTTTTTCCACTAAAATATATAGATAGTACAGACACCCACAGTATGATTTCTTGTTTTGACGATATTAGGCTTAGGTGGACGTCAGTTCATAGAGAAATTTGGTTTTTGTCAATTATCTTTCGATCCAGGTGACTTCACGTTCTGAAACTTTGGCGTTCTATTCCAACCGCTATAGTGTCACATTCTCACAAGTTTCAGCTTTCTGCGATGCTGAGCTTAATTACCCGAGCCGAAAAAACACGGTTCTCGTTTCTCGGGAACTCCCTGTATATGCAGGATATCTTTAGCCCGTTTCATTCTTCTGCGCGCTTCCACCTTTGTCCGATGGGCTCTGGAACGCGTTCTGAACTAGCGCAGCAGCTCTCTTCTGCTGTATATCGAACACCGAGTCCGCGTCCGTCGGCCGGTGACTCGGCATATCTCAGATAAGTGATACGCGCTAGAAAGGGGTACACACATAAGCACCGCGGAACTCTCACAAAAAGCATCCTCCAGAATGAAGCATTGGGATATTACATAAGTTATATCACGTAGGCTAAAACACATTTCGTATCCTAGTGTACCCACCTTCGTTCACCTTATTTGAGCTGCATAAGAACGTGGCGGAATTCTAGATGCGCATCTCAGCCAATACGTTGCGTTCAGCCAATACGTTGCAGTCAAATTGCGTTAATCACAAACAATGCAGATGAGCCCATATACAACCGCGGACAACTCTCGACAACTGAATTACTCACCACGACCTCTTCAGAAGAGTGGGCGTCGGAGCTGCGAAGATCATCTTCCGATGTGTAAAGTCGTTGTGAATTGACCCATAGACGTGCGAACAGTGTACCACAAAAGTGTTCTGACGTCAGTGCGCAAAGCCGGAGGTTAAGTCAATCTACCTTGAGACGTGATGCGCCCAATGCTGCGCGACAGCTCGTTTGAAGTCCCAAACCTACCGTTTCCTCAGTAATCCTGAACAATAGTTGCTTCAGACGGTACCTCAACAGCATACACTTGCTAGAGGTCGAAGAATGATTTTTAAACCATCGACCGTTCCGCAAAACCTAGAAGGCACAAATGCATATACATAGGAGGCTAAAACTGCAAGTCACGGCACGCTCTCAGCTCTCGACCGGACGAGCCGGCGCATGAGCAGGCCCAGGAAAACGACGGACGCAATGACGTTGCGCTTTCGGCGCGCTGCTTGTTCTGCGCTTTTGACAACTGTTTCCACTTAAGGCGGGAACACATTTGCGAAAAAACGAACCGAAAATCGGAGAGAAATCGGAGGCTGCGGAAATCGTAGCTTGCAATTTTCGGAAGACGAGCCACATGAGGTGGAATGCGCGGCGCGGAAACCGCAATGCAGTGCGGTTTTCGTGCTCCGACTTCAGGAGGCTGTTCGGCAGTCTGGCGAACTGGCGTCCCATATTTCGCGCCTCTTAAAAACGTCAGCTATTAAAACCTCGTTGAATGCCACGCGAGCCTTTGTACCACCACCCTTTGATAGAGACAAGGGGTTTTCTACGAAGGTTGAGATGAGAACGAAGGGTGGCATACGATGTTGCCTGGGCTGGTTCCGAAGCTGCGTGAGCCGCCATGTTGCGAGCCGATCGTATCTTTTCGTTCCGTCCTGTTCCGGGCTTTCGCTCACCGAGTTCCTCCGCCCCGAATTCGGAGGCGCCGTGCGAAAATATCTGGCGCTGCAGATCTTTCGAAACGCTCCCGATTTTCGGAAAAGGGGACGAGCCTAGCTGCCGTGCGATTTTCGTGTGCGGTTTTCGCACAAAATTCGGCTTTTTTTCGCAAATGTGTTCCCGGCTTTAATCGTGGCGAAAATTCCCCAGAGTTCCGCACTGTAAACACGCGATCACCGTGTCCCAGAGGGGCGAAAACGGGAGCAGACGCGGTAAATCGTCAGCGCTGACATCGGTAGTGCCGAGAGAAAAGCCGAGAAAGAGAGCGACAAAAGAGTGTAGAAAGAAAGTATAGATGAAAAGTTAGCGGGTGTTCTTTGCACGGTATTAGCGCACACGTGTGGAGAAGAGGGAAGGGACAGGAAAGAGCGCTACTCACAACTATATTTACAAAGATGACGAGAAGGAAGAACATCGTCAAGATCCCCGTAAAGATGAAAAAAAAAAGGACAAAGAAACAGAAATATAAAACACATAATAGGGTGTTCCCTCGCGGGCACATGCTTGAGACACTAGGTCATTGTTTAAACACCAAATCCGTTGTTGGCCGTTACGTTGCCGTGGTGCAGGGTGTTTTTGCATCAGTCTTGGCTCGTGCTGGGTCATCGTTGTCCGGGAGGAAGACGAACACCTCATCCGTAGTCGGCCGTCGCTTTGTCATCCTGCCTGATGTCTCGCGGCAACCATGACTCTTGCGGCTTCCTCATTGTTCGTGTTAAAAAGTATATTTCCTTGCTTGTTAAGGCTACCGATTCTACACTTATCCATTTATTGGCGGCGGATATTATGTGGTAGGCTTCCACAACCTCGCGGGTCAATTTATCTTTGTGCCTCTTTAGGATTCTTGTTTCCCCGAAAAGCGGAGTGCAATTGCACTCTTTGCAATGTGTTGCGAGATGTCCTCCCGCTGTGGCTCTCAGAGAGTAATCATGTTCGCGTAGTCTGTAATTAAGACATCTGCCAGTTTGACCTACGTAGATCTTGCCACGCGAGAGTGGAATGCTGTACGCCACTCCTGAAGTGCACGGAACAAAAGGCTTGGCATGTTTTTAGTGCACCTATGTCTTGTGGCACCTTAGGCTAGCGCGTTGACTCTAGAGCAAATTTTGCTCATTTTTTGCGGGGCTGAAAAAACCACTCGAACCCCATAACGACTTGCTACGTTTTTTTAAGTTTAAACTATAAATAACCGACCTTAAGTTTTTGTTTCCTCTCGTTCCGTTCTCTTCAAGTCTTCATGACCACGGCAGGACGTGTTGTTGTCATTTTAGGTTATACCATGTCCTTCTCGCAAGCATATAGCCCTTTGTGGAGGCTCGTCAATTCCCGCTTCGATAGATCGGCACCTCGGTAAGACAACAGGTCAGCAATGGCGGACGTAATCTGGCGCGTGTGCAAAGCGTCTTTGGAATACCTTTGCTAAGGACGATGTACGGTACGCAGCAATTGGGGGGCATATTTAATACCAGATATAATAAACAAACGTCCAAATATACAAAAAAAATTAACCGAAACTCTGTGTCAAACTAGAGGTATACAAAAGCGATAAAACATTACCTTATGTGCTAGGAAATAAATATTTCAAAATCCGCTTTGCGCAGTTAATATATCCAGCTTTTTAATACACCCTTCATAATTATATCGCTTAAAAGTGCTTCTTTTCTGCCATATATATATATATATATATATATATATTAAAGTACTTTATGAATGTTGTAACTACTGCGTGAAATCGTGCATCTTTTCTTTTTTTACTATTTAGCTCTGGATAGGTGGGGGTGCGGTGGCGGGAACTGTCGTCGTTCGTGGCGGTAATGAGCGAGGATGTCCGCGTATTTCTGAAGAGGAGTGGGTTTGAAAGTGCATGGGGTTTCCGTGTCGCTGCCTTCTTGAGAAACGGCCCGGTGTGTATGAGCGCGGGCAGTGGCGTGTGCCGCTTCGTTTGCCTCGAAGGACTCGTGTCCGGGGGTCCAGACCATATGGAGTTCCGGGAGCTGGCGCACGTTTTGTAGAACTTTTGAGGGCCGCTGGTGATATGCGGTCTAGTAGGAAGTTGCGGCAAGCGGCTTGAGAGTCGGTCAGTAGAGTGATATACTCGTCGCCAGTGGTGGCCGCCAAAGCAAGGGCGAACTCTTCTGCCGTCTCGATAGACGTAGTGAGGATTGTAGCTGTCGTCAGTTCTTTGCAATGGGCGTCGGTGACGCTCACGGCATGGGCTGGTTGTTGGGGGTACGGGGGAGTATCCGTGTAGCGAGTAAAAGAAGAGTCCAAGTCTACAAACTAACTCTTATTGCCACGGCACTTCTACTGCACGCCATGTACCCCACTCTATCCTGCTACCTGCAACTTGTGCTCCCAGCCTGGCACCCTGTACCACATGGTCTGGGAGTGTCAGCAAACCCCATCCCTTGCCCCCAACCCTCACGCAACCTACGAGCAGTGGGTAAGCCAGCTGACCAGTTCCGACCTCTCAGCCCACCGTAGCCGGGTGGAGAGGGCCCGGGCAGCCAGCGCGGACCAGGGCTTCTCGAACTAGAGGCGAACCCCCAACGGGGGGGGGGGGGGGCGCCCAACCATCAGCGCCTGAAGCTGCATTTATTAGAAGTTTATTCCTCCTCCTCCTCCTTTACTATTTAGCGTTTACATTTTGTGATTTCAATTCTTGTTTTTCGTGTTTCGCTGAGCAATTGTCAACCGGGGCCACGTCAGGCAAAGTATATATCGGTTTTTCACCCGGTTATCGGAGGCTGTAAACAAAACAAAAACAACAACAAAAAAACAGTGGGTCCACGCTGAGGAAACCAGCTTGCGTCACCATCGTCGCCAGAAGCGCCAAAGCCAAAGCGTCTCGCCGTGCCTCACAACGGGCGAGAGGCTAGCACGTGTGAACACCAAGACGGACGCGTCTTCTGCCGCTTGGCAGCGCCATCTCGTCGAGCTTAAGCATGTTTGCCGCTAGGGGCGGGTCGAAAATCCCCTAAGCTGACGTCATGCAGAATATCAAAGGTATTTTAAGACGATACTGATTCATAACACACAAAAATGAAGGGCGATCAGAGAAAAGCAGGAGGTCCCCATCACTTGCACAATACCTCTTTATTTATACCGCACTACACGAGGTGTTTCCATTGCCTTATTTACAGAATAATGTTATCTCACAAACGCTCCTGCTCAAAATAAGCCAAAAAAAAAAAAAGAAACACGAAGACAAACAAAATTGGATGTATACATACTCGGGAGTATATTCGACGGTTATCTCTAAATGCAGAAGCCTTGATTTGAAGAAAATTAAGAAAGCACCAAATAACGACGCACGTTCAAGTCTAAATGTAGGAAACATGCAATATTGTTCTTATATTTTATTTTAGCGCGAGGAACGAGACGCGCGCAAAATAAATCTTTAGAGCTCAACCGACATGTAATTGAGCCCAAGAGGTAAGGAGCCTGGTGCGACCAACTACTTCGCAATCTTTTGTATGCCCTAAGCTGAATATTACTCGAACACACGAGGTCTTGAAGCACACGTTTGATCTTACGCTTTCAATTCGTCGAAGAAATAAAGCGAGATTGAGCACAAGGACGGGTATACAGCTCTCAAAACGTCAAGGAAGTAAATGCTAAACGTGACATGCAATCGCATGAATTCAAAGCAGCGGCACAATTGCTGCAAGAAAACAAATAACGTTAGGGCGTGTGCATGTAGAATAGCGAAAAAACAGACGGCGTATCACTGTACATTCTATGTCGAAAACAAGATCAAAGGAGTTCGAAGAATATATACGAAGTATTATTTTAATTAAATTTTAACAACCTTTATTTTTTCTTATTTTTTTACGGCCAGCGGGTGCTACCACCTTGTCGACGAAACACTTCATCCGATTCGCGAAACTGCGGCGAATCTTTTATTGACCTGATTGAATTTAATCAAGACCCACTAGTTTTTCTGCGTAACAATTAGTGATGTAACAAGCGTTGCGGCGCGCATGTAAGAAATTTATTTTAAACTCGAAAATATTGTCATGTTTTATCTGCACATTAAATTGTTACGGCAACCACAATACGTTTTTGCACTGCAGTTACCAAATCTATAAATGTGCTAATGAATAACCAATAACCCCCCCCCCCCCCCCCAAAAAAAAAAGGGTTGAAATGTTTGTTTTTTTCTTATGGTATAGTTATTTGTCGAGAACAACTAAAGAAGGTAGTTACTACACGATACGTTCAGTAACAGCTAGCTTACGTCTGCTCAATGCCACAGCTATATAGCTAGTCCCTATCATACCCTTTTGACCTCAAGCTTTTGAACTAAACGCTGTAATTCAGTTGTCTATCAGACACTTAGCTCAAATATTCCAGAGCCCCAATTGAAGCGTTGTTGACGTTCTATATTTACGCGAGATGAGTTTATTTAGCGATTGAGCACACAGGGGTGGAAACGAAACTGCCATTCTAAAGATGAAAACCAAATGAAACCGACATTTTTCAAGCCTCACCACGAAGTAAGCACATGAAAAACGTACAGGAAATGGTAAAAATTCTCGGCCATGGCACCGCATGACATTTTTGAATCTTGTAGCGATAAAGTCACAAAGGAGTGGCTTCGACCAGCCGAAACGCAACTTGAGACGACTCCGATGACTAGGATGACTATGTATAAACATAGTCATCCTTTTCCCAGCAATAGCTGTCATGGAAGGTAAAAGGTTCCATCCCACGTTCGGGAAACTTCGGATCGCGGAGTAGTTTAAGACACCAGAAAATATTCCCCAAGATTCACTTCTAAGAAAAATTTTCAGGAGTGCACACTTCAAATGCTAATTAAGGTTTCTCATTCCACCCTCAGCTATCGATTGAAACATTTCGTGAATTTTGTTCACTGTTGTAAATTATCTGCAAAGCAGGCTTCCCCGTTCCAGCCTCAGTAATCGATTCAACCATTTGGTTGTTTCTAGTCACTTTTATTAAAACAGAGGAACGCAGATTCGCAGAACTCGCTCGGAAGATCTGGTTATTAGATAGATCTGGAAAAAAACGGTAATCCTGGTCACGAGAACCCCACAACGCGTAAAATTATTTATGAAAAAAAAAATTATAAACTACTACATTACAAGCAAACAATCAGAACAACTTGCGTGAACAGCATTCTCATTGATTATCTAAATTACATAGAATGTACAAAACGAAACAAGAAAAAAAGGGGCAAAAGACGGTTCAGAAGCGAAGCACATGCTTCTGGCTGCGGGCCACACCATCGTCATTGAGTCCCAACCTTCCGAAAATGTGCGAGTCAAGCAAAAACAAACAAATAAAAAGGGTAAAAGTTTTTGTTCAGCTGTTCTTCACTCACAAACACTCTAGATAACCGTAACAATGGCGGCTTAATCTAACATAGCAAAAATATTATATATAAAAACAAAATCTCGGGTGTCTACGAAAACGGGTGCCGTTCAGCCATTGACAAGGGAAGAAGCAACACATTTGCGACAAGTGGAAAAGGGCAACGAAAGAATACCATATCCGCAAAAAAAATCGACTTTAAGGGGGTAGTTTAGAAGTTTACATGTGTTTCTTTTCGATTCTTCCTGCACAAAAATACTAAATTGCTTAGCTGGAAAGTACCTTAACAGGTCAGCCCGTGGAGAGTACTAGTGACAGACAATGTCTGCACGGTCTTGGGCGGCTGATATCGAGGACATCAAGCTCGATTTAAAAATAAAAACAGGAGACAAACACTGGAGGCAAGCAAATTACCCACGAATGACACAACTGGCGAACAATAAAACAGCGAGCAAAAATATACAGTCCTCTCCATCCCAATTCCTTCTCAATGAGGGTCTTTCCCATGCACACTCTTCAAGCCACGCCTTTTTTTTTTTTCTTCAAGTGGGCCACTTAACGCTTTTACAGTCGACACCGAATGAGATTTACACAAGCGAGCGATATCAGGACTGCCGGGTGAATTTTACCGACGCAACACGAGGGAGATCGCAAAATAACAGCTGCTGAAATCATTATTTTTTTTTTTAGTTTTACACTTTCACTAAGGTATGGTAGCGCTAATGAAAATACTGACGTTTTTAGTAAAGGAATACTGAATTGTTAACAAAAAATATTAGGATTGTCGGCGAAGCTGAGCGAAGAACGAGGCAACATCTAGAAGGCAATTTTTTTTTTCTTGTGTAACATGCAAAATTTTGCAAACAAAACACTATCTTAAGAACTTCACTTATCTCCCTCAAAAACAAGCAGCTTATAAAGAAAGATATTTTGAAACAAAAAGTGTCCGCAGAAGCGTTCCCGAAATGAAAGATGAAAACGCCTTGGCCACTCTCGCTCACTCGCGACACCGCAACGCCACATGTTGCAATTTCACCGCTTCGGCTGTCGATCGCTCGTGCTAATCGCTCTAAGTGCCGACTGTTTACCATTTTGCATCCCGCTACATTTCCGCCCTCACGCTCCATAAAACGCCGCGCCTCGTTTTCCCGCCACAAATCTCCCCGAGCAGATACCGCGCGACCGACTTCACATCCGCTCCCTTCACACGCAAACAGACCGCCTTTGAACTACGGGCGTCGCGAACCCGCCGAAATTTCGAGGAGGTCGATTAGGTTCGCCAAAGTTTCGAAGAGTTCGACCAGGTTCCCCGAACCCATCGAACCACCAGTTTCGACAAAAAAAAAAATCGAAGTTCGCGACGTCCTTAAAACGCAACTTCTTAAACCCCTCCTTCAAGAAAGCACAGTAAATATATTACAACTGAAGAACCATATAAACTAAAACAAGCACAAAAAAAATCTTGCTGAAGTTCGGATTTCACAGTTCAGAAACTTTGTTGGGGAAGAAAACGACCGGTATAGCCAGTTTCGCATAACAACGGACCGTAGAGGACGCTACCGGAGCCAATCCAGGAGGGACAGAGCGCTGGATTGGTTGGTACCCCTCGTAGCGTTCGCCAAGGTCCAGCGTACGGTGAAACTATGTATCGGTCGTTTCCGCAAGAGCGAACGAACAAAAGTGCCATGTAAAAGAAGAACACCAAATTCTTGGGAAGGCAAATCAACACGACACGGGAGGGTTGTTTTACGCAAGCACTGGTTGGTCGAGGATGCCGAGGTGGTCTCGCTCGCCGTTGGAGTATTCCTCGGTGCCTTCGCGGGAAGCCGGTGATGCGGACCTGGACCATTTCTCGCGACCAAAGCCTTCGTCGTAGTTGCCTTTGGCTATGAAAAATTGCTTGAAGTGAGGCCCGCAGTACAGCTTCCCACCGCTGATGGTGTAATTCTCGAGCCTGCAAAAAAAGAAAAAAAGGCGTCGCGTTCAACGAATAACCATAGTCCCTGACAGCTGAAGAAACGAAGGGTGCGGCTCATTCTTTGACGTCCTTAACAGATAACGCCGCCATATCATAAAAGCTGCGACGCGATAATAAAATTCTCGAGACTCTCCACTCTTTGCCTTTCTTAAGGGAGCACTGGCAGGTCAAAATCTTTTTTTTTTATTATCTGAAACGGTCGAAAACGATGCCTGGACATTGCCCCCAAAATTCGAAACTTGGGGAGTTCAGTATTTGTGAAGTAAAGAAACAATTTCCAGAAAGCCAAATTTGAAGTTCCCGCGTGATCCGCGACAGTGCAATGGCGTCAAAGATTGAGTCGTCCTGCAACTCGAGTTTCTCTCGAGACTCCGAGCCGTCCCGACCTGAAGTGGTGTCGTGTTCGCCCGCGTCCGGCGAACAACCGCGCTCTTCTCCGTGCGTGACGCCTATCGCTGTGAGCAGACGACGTTTGCTTCACTTTCGAGTTTGAAGTTTTTTTTAGGGCCCTTTCAGCGATGTGATATTCTTCGAAACGGTGCGAGATCGAAGAGGATGCGCAGAGGACTTTTGTGAGCGACGTGAGGAGCCACGTCGCGCCGGGATTCTGCGTGAAAGGCTGCCCCGGCGGAGTCACAACCCAAACTACGGTACACAGACACCGAGTCCAGTTGTTTTGACCGTTCGACGATTTGCTTTTTGAAGTCTGGGATGTCGTCGGGCACATAAAAAAGAGAGCTTCGTCCGATTCGCCGACTCAACGATCATCCTCAGTGCTGCATGTGCCGCGCGCCGCGGCGCCGCTATGTTTTCCGAGGGAGGACAAAAAGCCAGGAGGCGACACCACTCCGGACTCCAATTTTCGGTTTTTTTTTTTTTTTTTTTTAAACGAAAAGGGCCGTAGTGCGTTCGTAATCGCGAAAAGACTTGTTTTACGAATGCCGCTATTAAATATAAAAATGTCGCTTACAAAGCTTGTGAATTTCATAATCGACTACGTCACAAATAAAAAGGAGGTGAGAAGGGGGAGAGAAGGGCGCCAAAGATAAAAGGTGCGTGCGGGGTAATTTTTTTCCCGTTGTGGTATTTTATTGCGTGCATGACTACAACTGGTACCGTTTTAGAAAATAAATAAATAAGCGACCTTCGAGGAGTCGGTGCGTTTCAGTGACTATAGATCGGTCCTGGAAAGCCAAGGGGCAATTGTACCAGAATTCAATCGTTCAAGCTTGATAGCAGTTGGCGCCTGCAGTGTGTAATGAACTGTCAAAGGAAGTTCCATAGGCTCATTCAAACTGAAAGATTGTACTGGCAGCATCGGAAAAGTGTCCACAATGTTCAGGGGGAAATTGGCGACTCCTTCGACGGGGATAAAAGGTGACGTTTTTAGTTTCTTTTTTCCCGATCTCCCAAAGGTCATCCCGGTGATTTCCCACGCCGCCTGGTGATAAGTTACGGAATTGCAGCAAAGAAGCACATGTTCCTGTATAGGCTCTCTATGGGAGCCAAAGTTGAGCGTTCATCCTCGGCAGGTGGCCGTAGCGACGGCTTTCCTGCACGGCCCTAGATTCTTTGCTCGTCACATGACTGAATTCGACGAATAGCGGCGCCGCGAGCGACTCCGCCCATGGAAAACAGGAAAGGGGAAGGACGAGGCAAAAGCAAGGGAACATACGTCGGGGCGCGTGCAACGTGGGCGATGCGACCGTATCGGTGGCTTTCCTGCACGTCGCTAGATTCTTTTGCTCCTCACGTGATCCATCTCGGCCAATAGCGGCGCGGCGGCACGTAGAAAACAGACGCGCAACTCTGGCTTTCCTAGGGAGCCTATACAGGAACTCTAGGGCAGCAATTTGGTTTAGAAGGGAGAAGGGTGGAATCATACTTTTGGTTTTAAATTTCTAGGCTAGGTGGAGCATGCTACCGCCCGTAACAAAGGGCACAGCCGTTAGCATCAATTCATCCACCCTTCCGATGTGGGTACAGGCCAGTTTTCTAGCAGCAGGACTTGTTCCCAGCGGATTGCAGCAATTTGATGGTGTAAAAATGACTACTGTGGAAGGTCCCTCTAGCAGCGCGAAAACAATGCACGACATGCTGCGCCTGGCATCGCCTTCATTTGACGTATTCTCAATACCTACTTTGATTTCACAAGTACCAGATAGCCATTCGGAAAGAGTACATTCCGGGTATTCAACAAATTAGATTTGTTATAAATAGCTTGAAAAAAAAAAAAAAAAACGCAAAGAAACACAGGAAGACTTCCTTAAACCTAAGGGTGTTTTTTTGTATCGTTTGGAGTGTTTTGTTTTTCTTCTTGCAATACGAATGACTTTGCTCAAACCTAAATTGCGCACCTCAGATGGCAGCTGCAGTGGCTGCAACGGAAGCAGTTCTTGTGCATCCTGAGGCCGCTGACCTCCATCCTCTCCATCGGGTAGAGCTTCTTGTTACAGATGCTGCAAACGTCCGTGGTTGGCGTCCCTGGAAACTCCTGCAGAGAGAAGAGAGTACAGACGCCAGGTCAGCGAAGGAACACGAGCCACGAGTTGCATCGGTCTTCCGACAAGGCAGAGAGCTTGTACATTTTAAGAGAAAAAGTTAACTCGAATCCTGGAGCGTTTGCATTTTAAACGGTGGAAACCTACGCAGATTGGTAGCTCCTGCGCATGCGTGCGTGGCGAAGAGGATAGAAGGCAGAGTGGCTGAGCCAAGCAAGCTGGAGACGTTTGAAGACGATCGATACTTTTGCCTCCTCCTCGCATCTTATATGGCAAGTGCGGCCATAAACCACGCGACCCCGATCGAACAGTTAGAAGCGCCCAAATCGAGGCACATTTAGGAAAGTTTAACATACGTCTTGTTGGGTTGCATCATTATTCAAGATATTGACGCGCGTAGACATCGTACTTCAAGGTGAATGAAATTGTCTTAGGGAACCATTTTTGCACATCCGATACGGTACGACGGGCCCTCCGGTACGAACTGCGCATGCGCACTCCGCAGAAGACTCGCGCATGCGCAGTTGGTACCGGAGGGCCCAACGTACCGTATCGGATGTGCAAAAATGGTTCCCTAACAACCCTTAAGAGCGTAAGAAGGTTAAACCATATTTTAAGTCACGTTCTAACTTATTAGTTGCCGAGTTTTTCTCAACAGCATCGAAATCCGTATGAAAATAATTTAAAGGTGCGGCGGATGTGCTTTTTTTTTGTTTTTACGTAAAGGACTCAACCACACGAAAATTCAGTGTTTCGGAGAAGGTCATTTTACCACGTTCTGCCACCAATGGCTACTAAAGGCCGGGGTAAGCTTCACCCCAAAACATTGCTAAGAAAAAAAGATAGCCTGTAAATGGCAGGAATCTTGAAGGTCTAAGTACCATACCTTGACTACAATATAAATAGGTCTCTCCAATCTTCAATGTGCTGCCAAAAAAGTTTGGAATTTGCTTTGAATTAATTTAGAGCACATTGTTTGCTCCAGTGAAAGTCTGGTGACTAAGATTACATGGGGTTCTTTAAAAGGACGCTGCACCCACCCTACCCTTTCCACCCAATAAAACGAACTTCTTGCACTTGCCTGAATAGGAAACTCGTGTCACACAACGAACTCGATAGTGTGGGCCCACGGGGTCCATGCACAGTGTGCCCGGACTGCTTTAATTGGAGCTAGCGAGGCGTTTGCAGGAAACGACGAATTAACACAGTAACAGTTGCACTGTAGGAAGCGTACAAACTTTATTGTTTTCCAAGAAACAGTCTACAGCTGGCATATAAAGCTTGTGCCAAAACAGGGGCCGCTACTGCGAGCGACTGAGTATAATAATTCCACATAAAAAAGGATTCACTTTAGCAAGCAAACGTTCCTCAACGTTTCCTTACTTTACACAGCGAGACACTGTTAGAGCAAAGAGACTATCTCCGTTTCTTTTCTTAGAATCAAAAGACTCGTCAGAAACCACCAGCGTGGAGGAGAGATGAAGCACAGACCTAAGCGGTAAAACATGGTGGCTATCAATATCAGTCCTAAATTAAAATTCGTAAAAAGCTTCGAGGTCCAGTTCACGGTAACAGTGTCGCGCGGTGCGTCTCCGAGCACTTTGCTACAAGTAAAACTACAATTGAAAAACAACTAAAGCGTAAAATCTCGAGCATATATATGGCACACGGTTTATATATATATAAAGAAAACTTCAATATAATACGCGTCAAATGACTCTGAAAGGAAGTAAGTACGCACTCCATACAATACTTAAAAAGCTCCGAACAATGCATTACACATCGATCCAGATTTGTACAGGCCCTGTGTGTTTCTGAGGAGCTGGGAACATATTTAAGAACACGAATTACAGTAAGCGACTTTTTTGTGTGTAAAAGTAAACGAAATTGAATTAACAGAACAAGTCAGCTGATCTTGAAAAGAGCACCCTAAAAACATCAGTATCAGCTTCTTGCTGAACAAATCGAAACAAAAAAAAAAAGATTCACGCTTTTAAGAAAAAAAAAAACACAAACAAAAATTCACACATACTTTTACAAATAGCAGTATCGCTTGACATACTTATGCACCGACAAAAAAACGAAGAATCCAACAGGATCCAAAGTTGTCTCAAACTTTTCACAGAACGGCACATTACACAAACATTCAGGGCTATGCTCGACATACATAACCAAGAAAATGGCATTTCACAAGCTCCGTGACCTCTGAGACCACGAATAAACTTTTTTCTGGTATCAGTATTGCGAGCGTTGAGACCGCCATAAAGTCTTACAGAAGCAAAACAAAAAATGACATATCAACGAGAGCTCAAATTCTCAATGAAATGCGAAAAGTACCTTCATATTCAACACTAGGGGTGGCCATTAATTGAATTGGTACCCCCTTATATTTTGTATTGAATTCCATAAAAAGACACCATTGATAGTGTTAGCAAACGCTTAAATCAAGTGCCAAGGACTCTCTGCTTCAGGTTTGAAAAAGGATACGTGTTCAACATCCAACTTAAGTCTCACCAAGAACAGTCGTATTACTAGTCACTCGCAAGACAAGCAACCAAATCATTCTGCGGCGCTGCGCTTGCATAATAGCAAAATAGGCAACACCCTGCATGTATTTCAAACTGAATTGGCTACCAAACGACCTTTCGTGACCTGCTCTAATCCCCCTAATTCCACAAACGACTCCGACTAGGTCGAACAGAAGACACCTGGTTGCATCATTTTGCATCCTTATTTACAGAACATTGCGCACCGCTTCGAACAATGCGAGATTCACGTAGAAAATCCAAGGCTCAAATTTAATGGATTAAAAAAAAAAAAGGAAAGTCCACGGCGACTTGGAAAGTTCTTGCTTGAAGACACCTGCGTTGTTGGGTGTAGGCAATCTTGGTGAGCCAGTGAGAACTTGACTCGAAACTGTGTGGCCACCTCTAGGTCAGTCACTGGAAGTCAGAAATGATAAGATTGAATCGCACTGATAAATGCTACCTCACGTCATATAGAACCAAGTTCACTTTTAGCCTTACGGTAATGGACCTTGATAATGTAATTAGAGGTCAAACAATCGGAGAACTGGCTAGCTCTGAAGTGCTGATCGAGTGCATACCAGCGAAATGATGAGAAAGAAGAATTTCTTTGGGGTGTTCCACTGAACTGAAATTGCAATAAGTCGATAAAAAAAATAGGGCGAGTTGTCATGAATACTGTTGCTATTGGCGGTGTCAGTGATACCTCTATCGCAGATTTGTTGTGTCATGTGAGCAGGGACGTTTTCTGAGCAAGCAAACAGCAATGTTATGCAGCAAGCACATCGCAAACCAAAACAAAAACTAAACACCGAAACGTGACAAGATTAAGCATTGTTAGTGCATTTCACTGTAAAGCACAAAATTTCAGAATCAACAACTTGACTGTTACAGTAAGCGCATGTTTTATAGCATTTCATACGTATATGTAGACAAGGAAAGCACGCTAGTAAATTAAATCCATACAATTGCTAACGATGCAGCTTTGTTGCAATATGCACGCATTGAATCGTAATACATACGCATTTGATTATTTTTGTCATATGGTTTCTCATTACGATACAGACTGCCCACATACTTGTACGCATGATTGATGTAAAGCATTTTTGCTAGTACCAATTATTCTACCATCTAGCGGATGTGATAAAGTGCCTTTTGAGCAAGGGTATGCTGAGATGAGCAACTAAAGAAAAACTGAACTGGATTGAATTTTTATATGAAAACTAAGTGTGCGCCTATTTGTTTTGACTTCAGACATTGTCCATAATACTCGAGGTAGATATGTTTAACTTGCCGTCACATTTTCCAGATAGCAACATTTACAAATCGATTTGTTCAGATCGCGGGTCATTTATTCATAGTAGCACGCAACTTTAACAAATCGGCGTAATCAACGAGCCATGTGAAGCTAAGCTCCAAACCCTTGCTTCAAAACTAAATGCCATACGATGTGGTGAATATTCTTCGCGAAAAAGGGGGAAAGGGGGAGAGAAGAAATTCTGCTTTAAAATACCATTCCTTAGCAAAAAGCGACAAGAAAGAAATGAAAATTTAGCACAGTACCACCGAAAGAGTACTCTTGAAGAACATTTCGACTGTACTGTGTTATGTAATCAGTTTCTGAGTATATATTTATATACTTCTTGCGTACCTTAACATTAGCAGGGTGCAGTGACAACGTTCGGAACTATGTTGTACATACGCAAAGAATGCTTTATAAACAAGCGAACTAGAAATATTTTAGTATTACTTTACAAAGTATACATTACTGTTTGATAAAAAAAAACGAAATAATTTTTTTTTTCCATGAGACGGTTTATTTTTAGGCGAGAAGAAAGTATGGCACAACACCGTGCTGTGCTGTCGGTGTTTGTTTTCGATTTATTGCATTTCCAAATCAGCTCCCCGCATATTCTCTCCCTGTCATTGTTTCTTGGCTGTGCGTTTATAATATAGGGTTGTATGACGTCTCAACCCCGAACACAGCCCGTGTTTACGCACACATCAATAGTTCTCAAGAAGCCAAATCTCAACTATGGTGATAGCGTTAGCAACTGCAGTATTCCGTGGTAATAGCATCAAGATGCTACCATCCCCTTAAATGACATCAACTTAGTGTGAAAGATAAGAAATAGTTTCTCAATCCAAGCGAGTTATTTTTAGTCATCACACGTCTTGAAGCCTCGGGCTGTTTTAGTGGCTCCACCTTGGATACAGAAAAACACCAAAAATATACCAGCCGTATATAGCTATTAGGCAGCAAGAGTAAAGAAAACTACATTTACAGAACGTTAAGCAAAATTTCTTAAGACTGCCTGGTCGTATCAGGTACATCAGCCAAAAGATCCCGAGGCATCAAAACGTCGCATTATGGCAGTACTACGAGACAAAGTTATGTGACATGGGGGGGAACCAAGAAACAATACTCACCGTATACAGTCTTAAAACTGCGAGTCTTCCAAACCATGCAAAAAGCAAGGTGGCCGGGCACAGTATGGCAGATCAAAAAGCAGCGATTATGTTTTCCGGTGAGTGACGAGTAAATATCGGGACGAATTTCCGAAAACAGTTTTGTGGTAGTCTTTTATGCACAACAAACAGCCAGAGCAAAGCATGCCGTCCTCCCCAGGAGAACACAGCCATCCATTCCCATGATCAATCACTCCAGAACTATAGTTAATTGTCATGAGCACGCTTTAAAAAGCCAAAGCCAAGCAAATTTAAATGCGGTACAACAGCGGTCCTTCACCAATTGTATCTGCAAGCAAAGGTCTCCTTCGGCGTCCCTAATCACGTAACCACATTAACTCGCCTACAATAAACACACGCGTTGTGAGTTGAAGCATACCGCAAAACACACGCGCCATTTTAATGGGAAGGCGATCAGGAAGAGCGATACTGACAGAATTTCCACTGTGTTGAGCTTAGAACACAGCACACTACTTTTAAATTGCAAGTCACTTTTGAACTAAAACTATACGCACACGATGTGACATTAAGCTCCTAGAATTCAAATTTTAATACGCTATCAGCCTAAATGTTATTCTATAATGCTACAGAATTCTGGTTTTGCCCGTTATTGCTAAGAAAAAAACAAAACAAAAAAACTCGCATCTTTCAACTAGTAATCTTCTAAAAGTAAATCTTAAATGATTCCAAACTGGTCACTTCGTGTGTTGTACATAAAATACTCGCAAGTCCTTCACGTCAATCTCAGCTCATGTGCTTTTAGAACCTGCTTAGTATTCCAGTATCGAGTCAGACGTGCATGTTCTCATTAGCAAACGATGTTAGTCTCCATGATCTTTGGTGAAGCTAAAATCTAGAACTCCTTAACTAACTTACATCAACAAAAATCAGCGCAAACAAGCTGGTGTAAATTGAACATAATTACGACAAACCCCGAGACTAGGGTAAAAAACGGACAGACTAAGTCAAGTCGAAGTTGTCACCACGATAAAACATTTCCCTCATGTTTAAGAGTTGCTATTTTTCATCTTCATTAAATGCATGACGAAAGTAATATCCAAGAAAGGCCTGTAATGTTAGTAAAAGGATACTGAGAGGCTCAAGAGCTCAATGACACCGGAACCTAAAAGTATTGCCTTGCCATACCACAAAATAAAATTTCAAGAGATAACGCGTTAAAGGAATGAAATTCATCTCGATCGCTCTAGCAAAAGACTGATAAATCATTTAGATCTCTCATAGCCCATTAACCAAATTCGTTAAGTACATAAGCAAAACCAATAAAGGGATGCTATCGGTTCCGATATGAACTTATCGGTTAACAAGGAAGGAAGATCACTGCTTAAATGAACAAAAACTAAGAGCGCAAGTGAGCCAGTGTATATTGAACATAATTGCGAAGATTTACAAAACTGAGGCAAGAGAAGGTCAGCACAAAACTACGGAGTTTAAAGACTCAAATCTCAAAACCGAAAGACAAAGTCGTAAACTTTGAGCCTTTGAGACCAACTGCCGACAACATCCGTCATGCTGACAACTAGTCGTCACTGCCCAACACCTCCGTGTCATCATCTCACCACAAATCTGTTGACCTTGGGCTTGGGCCTGGCCACCTCCCGCCGCACGGACTCGTCCTTGATGGCCTCGAACTTTGCCCTCAGGTTCTTGGCGGTGTCGGCCTGCGGCAGGCACTCTTCCTCGTTCTCGCCTCCGGCCCCGACTGCGTTCTTCTTGTTCTCCTGGGCGATCCTCTCGGCGTCCCAGTTCTCGAACCTCGCCCGCATGCTCTTGGCCCGGTCGGCCTCCACGACGATGTCCTCGTCGACGCGGTACGAGCACTGCACGATGTCCGGGTCCCGCTGAACCACCGGCGAGTCCTCGTGTTCCTGGTTTCGCGACGTCGTCGTGGTGTATTCTCGCGGCGGTGTGATGCGCTTCAGGGGTTTGGGACCCTGCGGCACCTCTTCGCGGTTAGCGCTTTCCTCGAGCTCGCGGAACCGCTCGCGCATCCTCCTCGCGGTGTCTGTCACGATGACCTCCTCTGGCGCGTCGGCGGCGCGGACCACGTTGGGGTCCCGCTGGACCTGGAACTCGGGCGACGGTTCTTTGACCTCGCGGGGCGGCGTCATCTCGAACCGCTTGCGCTCCTTGGACTCGACCTTGTAGTTCTCGAAGAACTTGAAGCGTTCTGAGAGCTCGTTGGTCTCGACCTCCACGTCGCGGACGGGATCGCTGGACCGGACCACCTCGCCGGGCGACACCGGGGCGTTCTTGGTGGGGCTGGGCTGGGACCAGCGGTTGCTGGGTGAGCGCGCCAACGACGTCGGGGCACTGGACTGCTTGGCCACCTCGGCGTCAAGTTGCTTGAAAATGTTCTTGGCCTCGTGGATGACCGCTGGAAGACGGCAGGGGAAAGGGTGAGGCTCTTTGCAACTTAGCACGAACTTGAGACTATGTGGACTTGTGCGAAGAACAGATTTTCTTTGTTTCTGTCAGTTCAAGCTGACCTTTCACCAATGCGTTCAAACTAGCTCAACTGAAGCCTGTATTGTTGTCACGTGATGTAAAATAATTGAAAGTATCTAAGCGTTGTAACATAGCCTAAAGGTTTGCGCAGACGTATCCTCAGCGAGGCGCCAGCCCATAGGTTTGACCCTCGCAACACAAAATAAAGCTATATTATTATCACATTATAAGCTTAGTCATTTTGATTTACGATGGCCACAATGGTTCGTATCTAGATACCCCCTTCATTGGTATCTTGGCCGCGAAGACAGTCTTGAGTTAAACCGCTGGAAGATGACCTAGTAAGAATGAGCTCTTTGTAATCAAAGTGCGTACTTGAAACGATCTGCTTGATCGAAGAATAGAGTATATGTGAGGGGTGGCCAAACCGCGGCTCGCGAGCCGCTTGCGGCTCTTTGCTGGTCACGGTGCGGCTCGCGGATCCCTCATAAGGAGACGCCCCCCCCCCCCCCCCCCCCCCTTCCTCACCCCTTTCCGCGTTTCCCCAGGAAAATGGAAAGGATTTCAGAATAAAGAACAGCGTGCGGTTTGGCAGCCTTGTGCCCCCATACGTACAGTCGAACCGCTTTTCACTCATATGTTTCCACAGATCCTGTTTCTTTCATAGTTCGCGAGAGTTTGCCAGACCCGAAAGCCATCAAGGACAGGGACTGTCAAGACATGCACGCACTTTGACTTGGGGTCGAGGAAATGTTCTGTCTCGCGGCCTTTGTCACTCGCTCGTGATACTTGTCCCCTTTAGGTAACGGATGCCCTCTCCATATCGCTTCTTGTTGAAGGTCGCGGAAGCCCGGGTTGACCTCAATCATAGCTTCCACTAGTCACAAACGTTATGTTCAAGTTGACAAAGGACCAGGAACATTCTCGTTGTTATTTTTATCGGCTTGCAGTTCTGACCCTCAAGCTGTTTTATGCTTTTTTGGGGGGGAGGGGGGGGAATAACCAGGCATCGGTGTTTGTTTCACCCCCCCCCCCCCCCCCCCCCCCACCTTTTCGGCGGCTCTTAAAATTTTCGTGGTTCCCTTTGCGGCTCTGAGGCTGAGGCCGAGGCAGCCTGGCCACCCCTGGTATATATAGGCGGTTGCCACAGAAAGAACACATTCCACGTTTCTAGAGATTGTTGCACAATGTGAAATACTGAGCAACCGGAAAGCTAGGCGTGCCCTCGGTCAGAAGACACACAAGTTGAACCTTCTCACATTCAGAATTAGACCAACATGTAACTAATATAATATATAAAGTTTCGCATTTAGATAACCCCCTCACAGGAATCGACTAGGAAGACAGGCTTGTGCCAAATACGGCGCCCAGACAAACTTTGCATGAAACTGAAGTTTAGGCGATATACTTCCTAGTTATATTATTGTACGAGGAAATTTAGGCAGTGTCGTTCGTCAGGTGTAACTTGTACACATTCCGACAATTTCTATTTAGGTAGTATTTTCGTATAATCTCGAAAAAAGTACAGCAGAGGCCTTCCTTCAGGTTAATAAATTATAAGGGGGAAAAGACCCTTGACAGCAGGGACCCTCGAGCAGGAAAATTTCTCGAAATTCATACACAATCTTAGCGGGGGGAGAGCTCTAGACGACACGAAGTAGAGATCCTGCATTTTCTGGCTCTGCAAATAGGCCATTCACCCCGCTCTAACTATCCGAACCAACACCTTTCGGTGCTTTGAGAGAAAAAAAAAAAATGGCGAAACCAGGAACTAACCAGTTTCGCTGAGAACACTGAGATCCTCCAGCTTCTCCCTGTTGAGGCGCTCGATCTTCTCAGCTTCTGTTTCCTGCGCCACCACGCCGGTCTCGAACTTTTCCTTGATGGAGATGGCCTTGGCCTCCTGACCCTCGACGCTGATGAGCTCGGACCGTCCCGCTTGAACCTTGTTGGCGTCCTCCACGGCCTTCTGGTACACCTGGCGCATGGACTCTGAGCGGCCGAGGCACATCTTTTTCCGCAACTTGGCCAGCTCCTCGCGTGTCTCCTCGGACTTTTCGCGACCGTTATTCACGCTCCCACTCTCCCACTGGTTCTTGAGCGAGGAGAGGCCCTCGTAGACGACCTGCAACAAGAAGCGATATTGTTAGCGTGGTCGGGACAACACTACCCATGACAGAGTGCGTCATGGTTCTACAGATATCTTCAGAATGTCCTGACGTTCCCTGGCTGTCTTGTGCACGTGCATTAGACGTCTGTGCCGTTTGGGATAGTGAACGTAATATAGATTGAGTCTTCAATAAAGACTGTATTGCACTTTAGGATCAAAACAACGCAACGGATGAGGGACCAGATAAAAAAAGAATCAGGCACAGCGCTATGTCTGTCTTTCTTCATGTGTTTCCTGCTGCTTCACGCTGATTTAATCCTCAAGTATGTTGTACGAACTAGCCCAAGCTTCAACTTCAGCTATATTGTACGCTTTAATATGGTAGCACCTATCAGTTAAATAACCAAAATGCGATATGTCAGGGAACATGACAACTTTCGGAGGACATCTTTGTTTTATTATGATGCACTAGAGCACACCCTATAACTTGTGTATGTATGCTATTGTCTTCTGAAATAGACACGCCCTTTGTACCAATTTAATTTCCTGCAATGATGCCAACCTTACTATTTTACGCAGGCGTACAGTGTGCGTTGCGCTCATAATTCGCGAGCTGGTTAACGTTACACATGGAGACGTGTCACGTTTTTAACGTTACACATGGAGACTTGTTTTTCCCTTCAGTTGAGTGTGCCTGTCTGTTTTGCTTGTAAAGATCTTGTTTGCAGCACTTAAGCAAAGGTCCATGTAGCCATAAGTCACAATATCAGTAAACGAGGTGTAAATTGATCCTCGGCACGATTTTGGTGCGGCGCCACTATAGTCGTATTATGATTTATACTTCAGATACCTTTTCTTTCGTCCTCTTCTCCTTGACAACGGACGGATCGTCATTGTCGTCGTTTTCTTCTTCACTTTCCGTAGAGTGAGCGTCGCCGTTTCTGTCACCAGACGCGACAGACTGATACCTAGAAGACAGAAGCACAGGCAAACGCATGAAGATGTCAGCGAATAGCTCCACAAGGAAAACTTAGGGGCAGTCAGACACTCCTGTACTTGGCCTCAGAGTCTACGAGGCGGCAACCTACTTTAAAGCTGGAGAAAGCTAACATCTCTCTTTAAGTACAGTTGCAACTCGCAAACTCGGGCAAGTGGCGTCAGAAAATCCACATTCATTGGGTTTCCAAGGTGCGTTATTTGTATGGCCTCACTCTCGTAGTAATAGCGATAAGGCAGCAGGGTATTGCCATTATTCGCATTCTTAACGTTTGCGTAAAGTACAAAGAAAACACACAAACTGTAGATATTTTACTATATTTGTACTCCATGCAGGCGTATCAAACAATGAAATTTAAAAAAAAAAATCGAAGGCATAATTATCCTCACTAAATTAACGGCCATGATTAACAAAAGAAAAAAAGTAGATGAGCTATCGCCGTTTAGAGCAGAACACAAAGGCATCAATTCATTTTCTTGTTTTTACAAACACTCGAAGCAGAGCATGTTTGTCTCTTGGCAATAAAGATGCTAGCTTCCAAGGAACATTAAGTACACAGTACCCTAGTGGCAGTACACTTACTTCTCGAGCCTCTTGAACAGGCTTTCGGAACGCGCCAGAGCAGACCTGTCCCCAACAGACGGGACGTACTCCTGGGGCGTTTCAAAGCGCTGTCGGATGTTGCCGAGGTCGAGGTTCAGGCTCTGCAGGCCGTCATCAGCCTTCGTGTCACCTGCGAGAAAGTGAGCAAAAAAAAAGTATTAAAAATTAAGTCAATATTTTACAGCGATAGTCGATTATCAATGTGAGGTTTCGCTTCCCGCTAAATTTAACCGGATATTGCAGTGTCCTGACATTCTGACGTCACTGGGTCATGGGACGTCACGTCACGCCGCCACAATTTTTACGCAAAAATAGCAGATAAATTTCGCCACTAAATTTGGTGGAATTTATTTGCGTCAAAGCAAAAAGATTATTTTCCGAAAACTTTAGCGATAGTTCGGTGTGACTTGACGTCATGATTCCACGTTACGTCAGTGCCGCATGAACACCGTCGGCCAAATTTAGCGGGCCGCAAGTCCGCCAAATCCAAACACGGCAATGTAACCGTGCGCAACATTGTGCAGCATCTCGGCTGTGGCCGCAATTTATTCGGAAGACACGACAAGGAGCCGGGAATTTTCTAATTCACCGTACCAAAAACAAAGATTTTTTTTTTGGGACGTTGTTTTATGCAGGGCAGTTCCGGATTGCAACGAGCAAGAAATTTGAGCCTCCAGCGTCACCCGCGCTGTGATCGAATAATAAAACGAAGCAGCGGGGTGTAGTGTTTTCTGCCATCCTTTTCGAAACAAAATTTACAACCCACAAAGACTCCCAGCGATCCAATGTCCTTCTGCGAGCCAGACAGCGTGCACATTGGCACGCACGCATGCGTTCCGAAATCACATGCAATCCGAGACAAGGGTCACACTATGCCGCACGCGACACAGGATGCGGTTGACACGATGATAACTACGACAGTCGTCCCCCCCTCTCTCCATTCGACCCGTATTCAAAAAAGATTGCGCAAAAAATTCCCGCACACCCAACCCCGCGCAAGAAGAGCTCGCCCTTTATTCCCTCCTTGTTTATCTTCGCCGCAGAAAGAAACGCGATAACGTTGCAGCCGAACGATGCAACGCTCGTCGAAAGGGTACGGCACGCCGCGTTCCCTTATAAGGGGTTGCGAAGAACGGAGCAGAGCCAACCCCCTCACAGTCAGGGACACGCGCCGGCTTGAAACCCGAGTCGCATTCCTGATGCCTCATCATCACGTAAAAAGACCTCCTGTTCAAGCTTAAAAAAATAAATTACGAACCAGAAAAAAAAAGTAAAAAACACGTTCCCCACCGTTGAATCATTCATGCAGACGCGCACGTGCCCGAATCAAGCTGCGCGAGTCACGATGTGCCATATGTACTTAGCTCCCCCTATAGACGACCGACCCTTCTACGCGGCAGCACGAAACGATGAGCCCCAACCAGCCTAACTATAATTGTAGGTCTACGACGCAAAAGAGGGGCGCGGATGGGGTATAAGCGGGGCGGGAAACCTGTTGTCCAAATTGAAAATTCGACGTGGTTCTTTTCCCTTCCTTAGCCCAGTTCCCATCGCGAGGTTCGCAGTATACATGGCAAGTAAACCGTGCCGGTTTCGTATACAAAGCTCGCTCGCTAGTTCGTTCTTTGGGCCCGCATTCGGGCGTGTAGGCGCACGGGGAGGCTAGGATGAATAAACGGAGCTCGCACGTGATGTGCCAGCTGTTTTCCCGCTAAGGTATAGTACGCACAAGTTGCGTCGTCGAATACGGCAACAGCCGGGTCGCCCCTTGCAGTTTTTTATATTTTTTTCATTATGACGGATTAAAGCCGATGCTACTGTATATACAGCATTCCAGCGCTTATGACCCCGGTGAAGGATACTTAGTCACTGGGGTGTGTGCGCATGCGTGGTGTATAAGATTCTACACAAGAGATCTATACTCGGCATGTTTAGAACGTGTTCCAATGCCCAATAGACAAAGATGTGGCGAAGCACAGAAGGCGACATTCGGAATGTTCTAAAGAAGGCGCAGACGCGCACATCGCGGTGTATAGAACATCCAGATTCGGCGCTTCGAAATGATGCGACAGTTGGGCGTCCCTGCGTTAGTGTGCACACGCGCAAGCGTCGTAGTTTTGATCCAAGGTTCGCAGGTTGGGGGTGACCTCACCGTCGTAAACAACCCGAGCGGAATTTTTGTGGCTAACCGCGAGGACTCCCACATGACACTCCATAAACACGCAGCCGCGAATGACTACGGCTTCTTTCTGTTTTTTTTTTGCCACTTCATTCGTGTCGCTATTATGACGCGCTGTGCGCAGTCACGCCATACTCCCGTTTACCCCCACGATGGAGCGCTGTCAACGCTACGAGTCATAGCCCAGCCAATCGAGCGCCGCGAAGCTATATCACGTGACTATACGTGGCCCAGCGCGTCGCCGCAAGCCTCCGAAAGGTCACGTGACAAACCTCGTTAATATAGACACCCCCGATTTCATATCCTCCCCCCTCCCCATTTCTGAAATCGCCCATAAGGCGAGTTGGTAAAATCTAAACCTATACTCTATTTCACCTTATGATGTACCGCAGGACATCCTATAAGCGCGAGCTCCTTGCTCTGGGACAGATATCGGTGGCACAAGCTTTCGTGCATTAAGGGAAGCTGCCAACGCTATGAACTCGCGCTTCTAGCCTTCACTGCGGTACAACATAAGGTGAAACAGAGCATAGGAGAAACTTTTTTTCTACCTGGATAGTAAAGAAAAGCCTAAAAGAACGTTTCCGATTTGCGGGCGAAACCGAACTTGTACCCATGCGGGATGACGATAGCATTTGTACGCAACTGGTGTGCGCTCTGAGGTTCAGCGAACAGCGTTTCAACTTAGCTCCAAGTGCAGCCAAAAGCTGGCGGACTGTTCACAACCTCGAAAAGAGCGTTCGTACGCGTCACAAAGTAGTCCGCAAAATAAATTTTAGAAATATTTTGTTTATACGCGTACATTGCTCAATTTTCCAGTTATGTCCTGATAAGACCAAATTATAAAAAAGAATGAAGTTCCACATTCTTAGTCATACAGTAAAGGACCATTGCTTCAGCAAAAAACGATTACCTGCCGGCAACACCCATCTGCCTACTATCGAAATCGAAATCGCCCGCCGATCGAAAAACTTCGTACGGTAGCGTAAATATTGGCCAACTATTTTATCTTTTTCGACGAACAATCAACATGTCTGTCCTAACCACGTGGAAGATTTTTTTTTCATAGGTTCAGTGTTTTTTGTTTTTTTTTTGTAATAATAACGAGACAAAAATGCATGCATTCACCCAGTTTGCGCGCTGTTTGCTCTTTTGTCAATTGCCATAACTCCTTGTAATGAATGGCTCGTAGCATCCGCTGCTGCCCGCCTAAAGGTGAAACGGCTTAAGTACGTGCGTCCCAGTTTTTCAGGTCTCGAGCTCGTCTAGTTTGGTGGCCGACATAGACAATGGGAAGGATGAGACGCACACGCAGGGAAGAGCGGATGAGAGGCGTCGGAGGTGTAGGTTCACAACGTGTGACGACACTGGTGACCGGTGTCCACAGTGAAGCCGACAAGAAACAATACACGAACCTCTAAGCTAGTTTTATCATAAGCCGCGAAGCAAACTACAGAAAAAACAAAAATTCCAACGTTTACTACGAGGAATATGTGCTCGGCAACGGAAGCCAAGCAAACGTCTGGTACCTGGCCCCGTGGACAATGTAAACTTAAACAACCAATCCTGTCTTTATTTTTTTCTTTTTTTACGTCTGCGGTTTTTACAATTTTTATTGCATCTCAACTTGTCAAAATAGTCTGATGTATGGGACCCGATCTTCGCATTCCATTCCTACTTCGAACCAGATGCTCTCTCGAAGGCTAGTAGGTCCGACAGAGACGCACGAAGGACTGTTTTGTGCTCATCGAATCCGGGATAGCGAATAGCGCGACACTATTAGCGCAAACAAGCTATCTCCTGTTTTTACTGGATCTTCTTTCTATATCGAAAAATCTGCAATAAAAATCAACTTCCGCGGAGGAATGTCCTTATACGGGGCAATAAAGTAAGTGGCTGTATTTGGTGCTGGTCAGTACTCTGTTCGAATAAAGCGCAGAAAAGCGTCGTTGTCGTTTTTGCGTCAACAATGTCAAACAGTGAACATTTCCCGTGTTCATATATTGTCTTCCTCAGTTTTAGATGACACGACAGCATAGAGACTAATTAAAAATATAAAAAAAAAAGAAAGACACGCAGATTTATTTTGAGAGCTTGATGCACGCGGCTCTTGGTTCTCATCTGGCGGCTCAAGATAGTGCCAACCAAATGTTGTTCTTGTAAGCCTTGTAAGTAAATAGAGGGGGAATTTTCATTGAAGGTGGCGACCAGCAAAAGATCATGCCGTGTTTCTTCCTGCTTTGCAGCTGTCCTGTTTGGAGATAAGATAAACACCTGCACGCCCAACACCTTGCTTACAAAAAGAATAAAAAACAAACGAAGATAAGATCTGAAAATGATAAAAGTAACACAAGGGTCGTGAAATTCTCGACTCCATACTTTTAACGAGCCAATGTCGCAATATTGTTCGAGTGCCAGCTAAACTTGGAACGCCGTTTTAAACTCGTCGCGAAACACGATATGCCTGTTTGTGTGGCGACAAAGTACGCGGAGTTATCGTGCCTTGGAGTTTCGGAAATCTTCACAAGCCACAAATGTTCCAAGAAGCGTTAAAAAAAAAAAAGATTAAGGAGTCGATTGTCTCATGGAGGTCACAATTTTCTTTGAGGCTCTCCAGTATCTTTACAACCAGTGCAAGCAATAGAGAGCCACCGATTAAGCTACGCCTCAGCGTAAATACACTTTATCCATCTGGTGCTTAAAATCGTCGTTGCCAGTTATCTGAAGCCTCACAATCGCAGCAAATGCTTTTCCGTCCTCCAGAAAATGTTAAGCCTGAGCAGTGTGCGACGACTGGAAGAACGATATTGCCTGAGCCTCCCCAGATTGCAATTAAAGCAATCGCGTTCTCGGAGCGGAAGTATCGTAAATTCTCTGCACTAAACACCAAAATGACGGCACCCCCGATATAGCACCAAAACGGCGGCAGCCACAAGATGGCACCAACATGG